TCATTAATCCTGATCCTGGGGAAAATAACTGGATGTTTTTACGTAGCACCAAGGGGTGCAGTCAGGTTTGGAGCTGCAGGGTGTTAATTGGAGGGTCCCTCATGAGCTGGGGCAGACCCACTCAAAAGTGAGAGATCATCTTGAGAACATTCTAAATTACTTAAGGGGACCTCATTCACTAGCTCATTCACTGTGACTCAAAAACATATGAGTTGGGGAGAAGCAAATCTGTGCTATCTGGCAACAGTTGAAGGGGTTTTACTCATTAGTAAAGATATCTCGTAGCACAGACCAAGCAAAACGAGAAGTAAACCCATGCTGCATCAGAATCATGCAGATTCTTAAATCTTTGCTTACATTCCAGTGAAAAGGTTTTTACTCATCCAGGCTGTTGCCATTATTCTGGATCACGGGACATGCTAGAATCTGATTTTCCATGTCTTGCTCCCCCCCCAATACAATACAAAATTGTTCATACAATTTTTCCCAAAATCTTTTTAGATCTGCCCCTCTTACTGGAATGGCCACTAGTTCTGGTGTAAGTATATCTTGCAGTGGAGGGGTGGTTGGTGGACTTCTTGCTTCATTTAACTCTGCCAGCCCCAATGAATCAATCAAAATACGCTCTGGTTGTGAATGGGATACGCCATTGGCTTTTGCCTGTGGGAAATGTGCTTGCCCATCTGCAGCCTCTGCCACAGCGTCCTGCTGGCTAAAAAGCACAGACAGGAGCTGTTTGATATGGCCCCACCAATTCTCCCCAGGGTTTGACAGCCCCAGCTCTGTCTGCAGCTGCAGGACTCAGAAGCAGCTCCTGGCTAGTTCTGCACCACCCAAGTAGCAGCAGAGGTGACTGCTTGCCAAGGAAAGCTGCAGCAGCTGGCAGTCCTTTCTCAGTAACCTGCACAGCTTCTGGGTGCTATCCCAAACCTCTTGTGTGGGTGGTAGGGTTACAGTAGCTCCACCATGGCCAGGCTGGGCTGGCACGGCTTCCAAGACCTTGAATTTCAACATCGCCATCCAGGGGAAGGATGCAACTCTTGGGCGATACCGTCAGGATAGGACCCTTCACACAAGACGCAGTCGCAGAGGGAGGAGGAGACAAAGGGGATATGGCTGCAGCTATGGGGTCAGCTGCTGGAGCGGCAGTAATGACTGCTGTTTCTCTATTGGCTTTTATTTTTAACAAAGCTTCCCAAACTGAACCCCACATCATAAGTGACCCTCCGGTTGTCTCTCCCCCCACTCTGTGTTCAAAGAAGAAACACAAAGAAGGCAGTCTGTGTGTTCATATTCATACTGTTTCATCCACACCAAAAAAACACATGCATAGCACCTGCTCCTCCCATCTTTTACCTTTATTCTGTAAAATTCACAGCAGAGTGTCCAATATGCAGTCCTCCTCTACTGATATCTGAGCTGCCATTCCTAAGTTTGCAACTGCTCAACTAGGAGAGGTGTGTTTATTTGAAAGTCATCCGCTCAGTTCTTCAGGCTCTTGCCTGGCTCAGTTCTGCAGGCTTTTAGCTAGTCAGCTTCTTAGGCTCTTTGTTAGCCTGCTAGTGCGGCTGGGCTCCACCATCTTAGTTGTCCACATAAATCATCTCAGGATCATGTTGGGTGTACCAGATTATGGTGGAGGTATGACTGACATAGAAGAAGGCTTCAGGCATCAGCACTTTATTGTGCCTCATCACAACCTTTTATACATTTATATAAGATGAAGATATTCATCTTAAATGCATTACACTTGTGTGCCCTCTCTACCCTTTTGTGATTGGTCAGTACATCTCAGCACTCCATGTTTCATTGCCTTCAATACTGTTCACCTGTCCTACACAGTTGTAGCCCATTAGGGATGAGGCTTGGCTGCAGCCCCATCCCAATCACCCACAAACTGTGTGTCTACTGTGTGTGTACACAACTCTTCCATGACTCATCCCTCATAACTTAGGGGGAGAAATCTTCTGTTAATAGGCCAGCTGATAAAACCAAGTAAGGCGGTATTCTTCATCTCTTCCACAACCCATCCTCTCTTCAGGGAGATATCTTTTGTTAATAGGCCATTGAGTCTCACAACATGACTGATAAAATTACAGCATCCCATTGTGGGATGCTCCACCCAGGGGGAGGAGCCAAGCATTCCTACCTAGACATAACCTGAGATTTAGAACACCACAGACAGCCTTTTTCCATTAAATTCCCAGAAGACTGAACCCATCAACACCACCACTAAATCTCCAGAGGAAAACGACACCCTTCTAGAGGATCATTGCTTCAACATGACCACATCTATCACTCCAAGAAGACTTGCAGCCACCCTTTAATCAGACTGCTACCAACACTCTGACCAACAGGGTGTCAGTGATTTATTCTGTCAGTATTTTTTTGTACAACTGCATTTTTATTTTAATTTTCATAGTAAAGAACCGTTATTCCTATTCCCATATTTTTGACTGAGGGCCCCTTAATTTCAAAGTGAAAATAATTCAGAAGGAAGGGTTTTACATTTTCTATTTCAAGGGAGGCTCCTGCCTTCCTTAGCAGACACCTGTCTTTCAAACCAATACACTCTGAAAGATTATTTGCATAATAAGGTATTTTTTGCAGTTAAAAAAGATGAAAGGCACACTGAGATGAATCCTTGCGAATTTACATAAAGTATTCAAAGTTTCTTGTGGTGTACTGACAAATTTTGAGCATCTGTTTTCTCTGATGATACCTCCCATTTATTTGTGTCCTTTTTTACCTCCCAGCATATGGTGTTTTAAAAGAGATAACTAAGATCAATTGGCTAAATAATGGTGTTTTCCTTGAAAAATAAATGCACATCTTAAGCACAGGCATAAGGGAAACAGAGCTACACTCTTTAAAATCCGACTACAGTAGTTTCTTGAAGAGTTTTAACCGTAAAATGCTGTAAGTTAAGGGGAAGAAAAAAAAAGGCGGCCGGAAGATGTTAACTTGGTTGAAACAATGGTGTGTTTATTTCATGTTGGGATTTCAACAGACCCTTAATTAGGGTCTGTTAGACCATGCAATTTTCATTAAAAAATATCTTGATGAGATTCTGATTATCAAGAAGTGCCTGGGAGACTTGGCACATGTTACTCTTTGAAAGAACATTCATCCAGAAAGGCAGGAAGGCAAACTATACCACCCAACTCATAGAATAAATATTAAGTCTAAATATCCAGAGTATTTAAAATAATAATGTAAATACTGGAAATACTTTGTGTGGTCTAGACTTCGTGAGTCTAGTGAGAATAAGCAGACAGCAGTGTTCAAACCAAAAAGGCAAAAACACACAGATTGTCTGCTATGAGATGAAATACTAATAGAATATTCACACTCTGAATGTATAGCTGGTAAAGTCACTACTGTGGCATTTCCTTAGGACATGAAAAATTTTACCTACCTATGTTGTGAAAAATAGCTTAGTTATTGAAAACAGCATTTAAAATACTATTTTTCTTTTTTCTAGCAAAAAAGTCAGTGTACAAGACCAGATATTACCATTCATATTGAAACACACATTCAGAATATATTAATTTTTCAAAACATTGAATAAGGAATTCTCATAAATAGCACTGCTATATTCATCTTGATGTAACTTGCAAGAGGGTTAAAAAAATTACTAAATAGATGGTATTCAAACCTGGAGTGAATAAAAGAAAAAAATACATGTTATTCTGAAGATAGCACCTTTAAACTGATCTTCAGAGGAGGGAAGGGGAGGAGTTGGACTCCCATCAATCATCTAGTCCTCTTCAGGGCTGACCAAAAGTGAAAGAATATTACTATTAAACCAGGGTGTTCAAATACTTTTTAAGGTATGGGACATTGATCAACTGTCAAGGAAGCCTGTTCTTGGTAAAGCATCTTTTCCTAATATCACATCTGAACCTCCCCTGATGCAGCTTTGAACCTTTCACATGTGTCCTGTCACTGGATAAGAGGAAGAAGAGATCAGCAATTCCTTCAATTCCCCTCTCATCCTGATAAAAATCAACTGAGTTTGATTCCTGGGGTTTCTTGACATAAAAAAAAAGTATTTTTAGTGCTGATTATTAAATCAAAATAAAAAATGATAGAGGTATGAAACCATAACATTATCACCAACGCTTGAGATGCATGGATAGATTAGAAAGAGAAACAGTTCTGTTATTCTGAAGTAACTTGCTCACCTGACTTTTCTTAGAAGAAAAGATAGTCCCCAAATTTTCACTTCTTATTGAGAGATAAATGTTCTCTTTGTTATGTATATATAGAAATACACATATCAACTTCAATCTGGTCTGAGTTACCTCTATCCTTTATATTAAGTACATGAAGGCACATTTTGTAGATCTAAATGAGGGGGGATCTAGACTGATTGCCCCAGCGTTTTTGTGTAAAATTTTGGATGAAGTTTACGGTCCCCAAAGTGGAATTCTCTTATGAACACTCTTAGGCCATTTCAGAACAAAGTCAGTGGAATCAGCTTAAAGCTCTTAAACCAAATTTGGATGACTTTACACTTTTGTGAACAACTTACACAGACAATTTTAGCTTTGCAGCTGTGTCAAGAGAAATGCCAAGAAATAACTTCTCAGCTTCAATAACTAGATGTGAGAGAAATGAACTGTTAATGCCTTCAGTCACCCTTGTCATGAGAAAAATTAAAAAGAATGTCAGATTGTGGCAACATGGCTACTAGATCAGCCTCAGGACAAATCAATGTCAGTTAATGGGAATTCAGATTAGACTAATCAGATACCAAACTCCTAAATCTGTAAGAATTGTCTATTATTTTTCTCACCACATATAAAATCAGATGCCTTTTGAGTCAAATTTCAGGCAAAGTTAATAGAGTCCATGTTTTTTGTGGCATGGACTGTTTTAGAAATACTGCAGTAAAAAGACTGTCATAAAAAATGCAACTGCCTCCAAAACAGATTCAGCCCTGGGAGAGAACTTGTTGTCCCTGTTGTAATCTATTAGAAATGTTACGCTCTTACCTAGAGCTGCTCTCTGAATCTGCCTCTGGATTATCTTTCCTTTCAGATGGTCTGTAAAAAACACAAAATGCAAATAATTAGAATTCAAAGAGTCAAAAATCAATGAAGTCATTACCTATTTCCCACCATTTGAAAGTCCTCAGTTGCTGGGCAATTTTAGGGTTTTTTTGTGATCCATGGGACAAGCTGATTTCTGAGTTCTCTCCTTCTCTCCACTGCAAGTAAACAAGTAGGCACAATGTGACTCTACATATACTGAGATTTAACTGTCCAGTAAGAAAGACTGAAAATTAGGCATTTACTGTCAAGCACTTTCACAAGATAATGATCTCCTACTGCTAGATACAAAAGAAGTCCAAGTGGGACACACGGAATTTCAAGTATTTATTCAGACTTAAAGGCACTTACCAGATAGTAGGTCACTAGTCTACCCCTCTGCCAGTGAAAATTGTCAATTCCCCCAAATCAATTTATTTTCTCATCTGTCCTGCTCAGTTTTAAATATCCCATGTACTAGAGCTTCCTCAAGTTCTACTGCTGTCCTGGTTCTGGCTGGAGTTAACTTTTTCAGTAGCTGGGAGGGGACCGTGAGGTTATTCTACCTCATATCATTGCTAGGTAAGGGGAAAGGGACTCTTCTTGGGCAAAGGGTAAGTAAAGTCAAGTAAACATGGCAGAGGGAGCCATCCTATATTGCCTAATACTGGGGAGGTTTTCTGTGTGAATTGTTTATTTTCCTGTACCCTCTGTCATTGACATTGTTGCTGTTACTGTTCATTTTCTTATCTCATTGCTGTTTCCAGTAAATTGTTCTTATCTCAACCTGTGATCTTTGCCTTTCTTACCTTCAATAATTCTCTCCATCCCACCACAGCTGGGAAGGGGAGGGGAGAAAGGGGCAGTGAGGGACAGCAGTGTGTGGTTAGGAGAGCCTTGGTGGGGGCACTGAGTTGGGCAGTACCATTCCAAAATCATGGCAACTACTCAATAGGACTCAATGTGTAGATGTCATTGGTTTTCAATCAAAAATTAACAAATTCCATTATCTCAGCATTCCTAGTTAGATTCCCATGCCCCATATAATTCACTTTTATTCTTCTTTTATCAATTTCCCACCTGATCTACGACAATGGGCCAGTTTCCCAATAATTTCAAATAATAATTAGATTACCACATGGGAAGCCATTATTCAAAGATATTGATAGAACCAAGAAAGGAAAAACATAACCCTAAATATAGAATTTCAGCAGTAAATGTATTCTGAAGGGGGATGGGATTATACCTTGTGGTGGTGCATATTTCTGGCAGTTACCTAGTTTCTTTGTGAACCTTCTAGGCATCTGTGACGCGTTTTTCCCCTCCCCTCCCTGTCCCTGAAACGTTATCCCATTGGTTGGTGTTATACGTCCCCCCGCCCCTCTCCCAAGGCTTGAAAAAGTCCGGGAAGGAGAAACCCAGCCTCTTCTCCCCTGGAAGCCAGCCAGAATAAACATCCTCCGTTACCCCGGAGGGAGAAGCAGCATTTTTTTGTCTTTTCTTGGTCGTGAAGGATCTCCCTGACCCCTCCATCGAAAGAGCTAGCCTGGATTACCTCGGGGGGCTAAGGGAAGATCGCTTCAATGGCTCTTGAGTTTTCAAATTAAAACAATTTCTAAACAGAGATTTGTTCATAATATTTGCTAAGTTGTAAATCTGGATACCAGGGAAAGAAAAAAAAAATCCATTTTTCCCCCCTCTAGACCTGTGATTATTTATAACATATTAGCATGCATTTTGAATTAAAAATATAATTTCTCTTACAAGTGAAGTCTAAGAGTGGAAGCTAATCAGAGCCAAATTAAGTCATTAAAATTTGGTAAATGCTTAACCAGAGAATATAAAAAAAATTAAATTCACAGGTCATGAGAATTAGATTGTTCTGTGAGCACAAAAGAACCATAACAAATTGAATTTCTTTGGAAATTACAAGAATAATTGTTAAGTATTTAGTAGCATTGTAGGAAATGTATTATTTGCAATACACTACAGTATAACATTCAAGTTTTGTTGTTCTGAATGTTTATAGAAAACAAACAAAACACCCTACCTACTTCTTGACTATAAAATAGACATTGAGTTGTATTTTTCTGCAGAGAAAGTTTTATTCCTTCAAATTATTTTTAATTAAGCCAAATTTTTCTGCAATTAAAATTACCTGTAAAATTAGGAGAATGTAATTTGTAAAATTAGCAAAGCCTTCAGCTACCAAGAAACAGGTTAAGTGAAATAGCTAACTTCATCTAACCCTGCTATTAAAGAAAATAAATCCTCCATCTCAGCTATACTAACACTCGACCAATGAGCCACATTCAGTTAAATAAGTTGATTCTTGTAACTATAGAAAAAACACCCTTGATTACTAATTTTTACCGATAAAAAACTGGTTGAATGATCAACATTCATGCTATTTCTGCTTTGAAAGTGATATAAAGCAAGTCAGTTGATTTCAATACTCAATGAAATGTGGTTAAACATGCTACTTTCTCCTCAAATTTATTTTTGCTATTCTTACTATTTAGATCCTTGTGTTCTATTGCACTGTTTCACACAGTATTGAGCCATGAGACAGCCATGAAACAATTTGTAGTTATCTTGAAACATACTGAGTATCATCACTCAATACTGAGCCATGAGACAGCCATGAAACAATTTGTAGTTATCTTGAAACTCATCTCAATGGGTTACCATTAACAGAGGTGCCTCAGAAACAATCCATGCATTTATCTTTGTGTAAGGGCTCTGAAACTCACTCAAGTGCTTTGATCTGCAAAAGGCAACTGCCACTGTTGTTTGAAAAATATGGTTCCAGTAGGGACAACAGGCTTTTGATCAAGAGCCACCTGAAAATAAGGGTGACATACAGTTCTCAGTCTTGTCCACTAATGGTGTTATACCTCCTTCTTTAACTTTCCTACTAACAGATTATCAGCAATATAAATGTTTTGTGTTTCAAGTGGCAATCAGGTCAACTGAAAAAAAGCAGGCCACACAAGTCAATGAGAGTAAGATCAAGTAGACAGACAACAGCTTGCCATCAATACAAATATGTGGAAACACAAGAACGTTTTCACTGGGTCTTACATTATAGCCAAAAGGCTTGACTTTCAATTACGTAGAGTTTACTCTGAACATAGGTAGGATAGAAACCACAGGCTGCAGAAGCTCTACTTGTATTGCGAGCTTTGTCAAACCACTCAGCAGTGTGAAAGTGTCCCAAATGTTAATCTCTCCCTTCATTCTAGCGATTGTACACTTCTGCTTCACCCATAACATGGACCATGATTCTGCAAGAAAACTACTTCTTCTACTTGGCATCTTTGTGAAAGAATTAGAAGTTTGAATCAGACCACCTGTAATCAGAGAGGAACCAAAGAAAACTTCTCTATCGGCTAGAAAAATAAAACTCCAACCTTACCATTCTTCTAGCAAAACAGTTTTCTTTTTCTCCTTTAAATAGAAATAAAAAGGTGACATTTATACAATTCACATAGCCCAAACTGCCTTTTTAAGGGCAGCAGAAACTGAACTTCATTTACCAAAAATGTCCACGGGGAGAAACTGAAATTGCATTATGGGAAAAGTAGGCCAAACACAAGTTCTGATTCAGGGGACATGGTGATATCATGAGTCACCTGACAATAATTCCATACCAAGACTTAGCCAGACAGAAATTACTTAATCTTTCAACTTGGTTTAATCCAATTTGAAATTTGACTGTTTAGATTTTGTTATAAATACATATTGTAATATTGGCTTTTCACAAGTATTAAGATGAATGTTATATGTATAATGTTATAATAGCTTTTGCTGTGTGAATGTAGTCGTTTTCTTTTTCTCCTGCTATTAGCTAGAATTTAGACATAGGTCAGAAGAATTTAGGTGTTAGGTTCAGATCCTGACTGAATAGGCAGGATAACCTCCAGTGAACAGATGATGGAGCCCAGGCTGCTATCAACACTCACCACCTGTGGAAGAAGGAGCCAAAGCCCAAATCAAAAGATGATAAGAAAGGAATTAAAACTGCAAAACCAAGAAATGTGTTTGCTCTAAAAAGGCAGACCCAAGGAGTGGCCATGTAAAACAGTTCCCAGAAAAGTTGGAATACGCATGAAGTCCATGTAGCAGAAATAGTATATAAAGGATATTTCCAAGACACCAGGCGTGCTCTTGGCAGAGCGCCAAGGCACCTGGCCATTACTATTTGCTTATTTTCTGTGTCTCTTATTGTCTTTATAAAACTTTTTAAACTTTACCAGGAGAGTGGTAAAACAATTTCATTTGGGAAAAAAAAATGTTTTCACTTAGAAGCTCTTTTTTTTTTATAAACTCTTAAGATTTTCTGTGCATGTTTTTGATTAAAGTAATCTTGGTTTTATTTCACTATAAATACTTGTAGCAGAGAATGAATGTTTCTACTCTACTTTTCTGCCTCTGAGTACACCATTGCTCCAATGCTAGGTTTTGGAGTTCATAAGTGACAAAAGTAGGGGATGATTCCAGTACTGCTGCCTGCACAAATCTTCCCATATAAACAAGAAGGAGATTTCAGTCTTTAGTTCTGCCTGTCCTACAATCTCCATAAACACACATATATACTCAAAGAAATATGAAGAATCACATTCTCATAAAAAAACCCACCATGTCTTCTGATTCCAAATGTAAAGTTGTGGATGAGGTAATGCTTAAATGTGGTTTGTAAAAATTGAATTTAGAATGTGGAGAACATCTCTCAACATATGGTTAATTATATTTTCTGAAGTTTCACCAAACAAGAAGCTAAAAATAAGTCTCTAGCTGATATCAAATATTTTTTCCAGCAGAGTCATTCTTCATCTGGAGATAACGGTCCCAATAAAACGTTGACTCCTGCAACTCCACATGTTTTGGCAAGAAAAGTATTTTTGTGGAATTTAAGAATTCACTCAGCATGCAGCCAGCTGTCATTAAGGCTGTGATAAATCTGTTGGTTTTGGCCTGCATTTCTGGAGACATGTAGATATGGGAAAGAGATG